AATCATGTTGTTGGACAACGGTGAACCTTCAAACTATGAAGAAGCGATGGCGGCCCAGATTCCAACAAATGGCTTGAAGCCATGCAATCCGAGATAGGATCCATGTATGAAAAAAAAGTATGGACTTTGATAGACTTGCCCGATGATCGGCGAGCGATAGAAAACAAATGGATCTTTAAGAAGAAGACGGACGCGGATGGTAATGTTACCATCTATAAAGCTCGACTTGTCGCTAAAGGTTGTCGGCAAGTTCAAGGGGTTGACTATGATGAGACTTTCTCTCCCGTAGAGAAGCTGAAGTCCGTCCGAATCATGTTAGCAATTGCCGCATACTATGATTATGAGATATGGCAAATGGACGTCAAAACGGCATTCCTTAACGGCTATCTTAAGGAAGAACTGTATATGATGCAGCCGGAAGGTTTTGTCGACCCTAAGAATGCTAATAAGGTATGCAAGCTCCAGCGATCCATTTATGGGCTGGTGCAAGCATCTCGGAGTTGGAACATTCGCTTTGATGAGATGAGCAAAGTGTTTGGGTTTATGCAGACTTATGGAGAAGCCTGCGTTTACAAGAAAGTGAGTGGGAGCTCTATAGCATTTCTCATATTATATGTAGATGACATACTTTTGATGGGAAATGATATGGAACTTTTGGACAGCATTAAGGCCTACTTGAATAAGAGTTTTTCAATGAAGGACCTTGGAGAAGCTACTTATATATTAGGCATCAAGATCTATAGAGATAGATCGAGACGCCTCATAGGTCTTTCACAAAGCACATACCTTGAAAAGATATTGAAGAAGTTCAAAATGGATCAGTCCAAGAAAGGGTTCTTGCCTGTATTACAAGGTGTGAAATTGAGCTCGGCTCAATGTCCGACCACGGCAGAAGATATAGAAGAGATGAGTTCATCCCCTATGCATCAGCCATAGGTTCTATTATGTATTCCATGCTGTGTACCAGACCTGATGTAAACCTTGCCGTAAGTTTGGTAGGAAGGTACCAAAGTAATCCCGGCAAGGAACACTGGATAGCGGTCAAGAATATCCTGAAGTACCTGAAAAGGACTAAGGACATGTTTCTCGTTTATGGAGGTGACAAAGAGCTCGTCATAAAGGGTTACGTCGACGCTAGCTTCGACACAGATCTGGATGACTCTAAGTCACAAACCGGATACTTGTATATGTTGAATGGTGGAGCAGTAAGCTGGTGCAGCTGCAAGCAGAGCGTCGTGGCGTGATCTACGTGTGAAGCGGAGTACATGGCAGCCTCGGAGGCAGCGCATGAAGCAATTTGGGTGAAGGAGTTCATCACTGACCTAGGAGTCATACCCAATGCGTCGGGGCCGATCAAACTCTTCTGTGACAACACTGGAGCTATTGCACTTGCCAAGGAGCCCAGGTTTCACAAGAAGACCAGGCACATCAAGCGTCGCTTTAACTCCATTCGTGAAAATGTTCAAGATGGAGACATAGAAATTTGCAAAGTGCATACGGATCTGAATATTGCAGATCCGTTGACTAAACCTCTTCCGCGAGCAAAACATGATCAACACCAGAACTCTATGGGTGTTCGATTCATCACAATGTAACTAGATTATTGACTCTAGTGCAAGTGGGAGACTGTTAGAAATATGCCCTAGAGGCAATAATAAAAGGATTATTATTATATTTCCTTGTTCATGATAATTGTCTTTTATTCATGCTATAATTGTATTATCCGGAAATCGTAATACACGTGTGAATACATAGACCACAACATGCCCCTAGTGAGCCTCTAGTTGACTAGCTCGTTGATCAATAGAATAGTCATGGTTTCCTGACTATGGACATTGGATGTCATTGATAACGGGATCACATCATTAGGAGAATGATGTGATGGACAAGACCCAATCCTAAGCATAGCACAAGATCGTGTAGTTCGTTTTGCTAGAGCTTTTCCAATGTCAAGTATCTTTTCCTTAGACCATGAGATCATGTAACTCCCAGATACCGTAGGAGTGCTTTGGGTGTACCAAACGTCACAACATAACTGGGTGACTATAAAGGTGCACTACAGGTATCTCCAAAAGTGTCTGCTGGGTTGACATGGATCGAGACTGGGATTTGTCACTCCGTATTACGGAGAGGTATCACTGGGCCCACTCGGTAATGCATCATCATAATGAGCTCAGAGTGACCAAGTGTTTGGTCACGAGATCATGCATTACGGTACGAGTAAAGTGACTTGCCGATAACGAGATTGATCGAGGTATTGGGATACTGACGATCGAATCTCGGGCAAGTAACATACCGATTGACAAAGGGAATTGTATACGGGGTTGTTTGAATCCTCGACATCGTGGTTCATCCGATGAGATCATCGAGGAGCATGTGGGAGCCAACATGGGTATCCAGATCCCGCTGTTGGTTATTGACCGGAGAGCCGTCTCGGTCATGTCTACGTGTCTCCCGAACGCGTAGGGTCTACACACTTAAGGTTCGATGACGCTAGGGTTGTATGAATATGAGTATGCAGCAAACCGAATGTTGTTCGGAGTCCCGGATGAGATCCCGGACGTCACGAGGAGTTCCGGATGTAAAGAATTATATATAGGAAGTGCTATTTCGGCCATCGGGAGAATTTCGGGGATTACCGGTATTGTACCGGGACCACCGGAAGGGTCCCGGGGGTCCACCGGGTGGGACCACCTATCCCGGAGGGCCCCGTGGGCTGAAGTGGGGAGGGAATCAGCCCCTGGTGGGCTGGTGCGCCCCCCCTGCGCCTAGGATTGAAAACCCTAGGGGTGGGAGGAGCCCCACTTGCCTTGGGGGGCAAGCCTCCCCCCTTGGCCGCCGCCCCCCTTGGGAGATCTGATCTCCAGGGCAACCGCACCCTGAAGTTTTGGCGCCTCCCTCCCCTGCTACACCTCTTGAGGTTACTCTGACTCGCTCAAGGAACAAAGTACGCAATTTCCACGCAGATACCTCGCATTTAGGTGACTGTTTCTGATGTCCAAAGAATTACTGACAAACAAGTCATGTGACTAGTTACGAGCGTGTGACAATACTTGCTGCTCTATTTAACATTATGATGATGATTTCGCGGGCTTGGCTGCACCGGAGATTTTGGCAAATACTCCCTCCGTCTCAAAATAAGTGTCTCAACCTTAGTACAACAGCACGCTTCACCAAGAGACCCTAGACAAAATGTCGCATACAGTTGTGCAAGTTAAAATGCAAGGAGTCTGCCTGAAGATCTCAGTGCGTATCTGTATCTGTATGTATCTGCTGAACTTTTGCATTGCATGATTGCATCAAGTACCAACACATTCCTTACCATATATATGCACCAACTGAGGAACTGAGGAACAGTCGTCATATAAAAGAAAAGAACCTTACTGGTCAATACTAAGCAATCCACTGGAATTGCGAAAGCAAAATGACATCATCTCCTTCATAAGTGCAGGCAGGAAGAGAACCGTGCTACAGCTGCTGTCAAGTGCGAGTTACCACTTGCAGGTACAAACTCCTTCTCATTCTAGCAACAGTGTCTCTCTTGCTGATTTCCCAAGTGAACAATCAGTCAGGCCAGGTGACAGACTAGAAATATTCAGAGGTTTAAGCAAGCAAAGTTCAGAAACTTCAGAGAAATGACTCAACATTCAGATGAGCCTCCTAGGATCTCTGTACTGCTCCCGCTACGACGTAGATCTCTGCTGTCCATGCTCTTCTCAGGTGATTTTGTTGTTTCTCTCTTCTTTTCGGAAATGAAACGGTTAACTGAAGGTGTCAATTCTTCAGAGGTTCAGAGATTGGGTCCTGACACCCGGCACCTTTCCTTAATTATTACTGCTTCACATTCAGACTCCCCGTAGAACCTGAGAAGTGACTGGAGGTGCTATTGGTTCAGAGCGTCCTTCCACACCTCCCCGTAGAGCAGAGCAGACCACACAATATTCGCTCAACGATGGCCTCATGGACTGTAGGTGCTGCCGCAGAGACGATTTTGGCTGGCCTACCTCTACCAGGGTGCAGAGCTTTCCGAGCCACTCGTTTGCCCTGCAGCGCTCCCTGCTTGGGCATGATGCACCCCGGCCGTCGAGCGAAAGTCTGTGATCAGGGATAGGATGTCTTGCTGCAGCTTCATGATGAACCTGCAGGTTTAAGGAGAACCAGAGGAATGGGTAACTGGATGTTCAAGAAAATGGAAATGCAGCAGCTCCAGGCAACAACTACTAGTACTCACTTGGTTGCTGTAAATGTAATCAACTGTACTCGAGTAAATAACGTAATATTTCAGGAGATGTCACAAAAACTCCAATAAAGGTTTTGACCACTGAGCTTTATAACTCAGGGTACAGAAAAACATGAATAAGTGATACTGGCTTTAGCGCCGACTGAATCTGAAATCATTCAGTCTTCAGACTGGAGACTGAACTGAACTAGTAACAAGTGCATAGCGTTCAAGGTAGTCAGGCATGCATACAAACAGCACAAAACATGTAAAAACCAAACAAACAAACAACAGGAAATCAAAGTGCCAGTCGTTTAACGGTTGTTTGTTCCTGAACCATCTATTATTATGAAATATTCAAGCAACAAAGATTCAAATTACAGTGAGTAAATAAATTAGTCGTCACGAGTCCATCGGTAGTTCTTGCGAAAGGCCACAGTCAAAGAGCTTATGGGCACACAACAAACCAATTTATCCCAACTCAGATAAGAAAGTATGGATCGATCATATTACTAATTAATACTTTATTATTACATCACATTAAACATGATCCTTGAGGTATAGAGAACAGTATTGACATCTCATAACTAATTTATCGAATATTCACACTTGATTCAATTCATACAATATACCGAGCTAAGTGCCTTCACAGGTAGCTGGGAGCACCTGGACTAGTAGATAGTAGCAGCAGTACACACACCAAAGTGCCACTTATTCTCCAAATTACAAAGTACTAACATACAGGTCTTGAGCAGTTCAACTGCAGCATGAAGCGGGCTCCTCACGCTTCTTCGTCGCCGTGGGTATTCTTCATCAGGCGAGACCAAGCTATAGCGACCCGCACATATACCTCATCATACAGCTTGTCAATGACCTGAAAGTAGGCAACCGCCCAGGTTCTCCTCAGTAACATGGCGCAAAACACCACCCAAAGGCCGACCACAAATCCTATGCCCATCCCAAGGTAGAGATATGAAATATGATCTGCCTCTTCATGGTCAGCACTTTGCTCCGCATCAGTAGGACTAGCAGAGCAGTTCTTTGAGAGAGGGTAGCCACATAGACCAGGGTTGCCGATGTAGGTATAGTTCAGGTTGTCGAGAACCTGCAGCTGTTGCCCGGATGGTACCGTGCCTGATAAGTTGTTGTATGACAGGTTCAGGTGGCTCAAAGAGGTCAGAGCCGACAAACCAGGTGGGATTTCACCAAACAATTTGTTGTAGGATAGGTCAAGGGACTCCAACAACTTAAGAGCACCAATCTGATTTGGGATTTTGCCTATCAACTGATTACTTGATAAGTTCAAATTGGTGAGCCCAATCAGCAATCTTATCTCCTCTGGAATATGTCCTGTTAAACTGTTACATGACAAATCAAGATTCACCACTAACCTATATATGTAAAAGGTATAGTCACGCGTTTGGCCTTTTGTGATGACTGGTATGCTCTCCTCCAAAACAGTTTGCCCCGTATATACACTTGCGCCCTCTATGAGTAAGCCCTCTTTGAGTAAGCGCTCCTCATAAGCATTGTCGTTTACGCTATTATGAGATATGTATCTCATTGCTCTCAATTTTGATAGCGACAATGGTATGGTTCCTGATATGTTGTTTTGGGCTATGTCCAAATAACGGAGACTTTCAATGCAAGTAAGATTGTTAGGAATATGGCCATTGAACATATTTGATCTCACCCTCAAGATTTGCAACTGTCGCATTTTCTCTGGTAACCAATTTGGCAATGCTCCAAAGAACTTATTGTATGAAAGATCAAGGAACTTCAATTGTGAGGCTCTCTGCAGAAATTTAGGGAATTCACCTGAGAGATCATTGTTGCTCAAGGCTAGACTATACATGCTAGAACCAAATTGATTTTCATTGCCATTGTTCGCCTTGAACACTGAATAATTGCTATATGACTCCTTCCAACAATGCATAACATCTCCTGTTAAATAGTTTCCTGATAGGTCCAACCGTCCTAGACCAGTCAATTGGCACATAGATGATGGAATGGAGCCCGTAATTTGATTATTTGCCAACAACAACTGCCAAAGCAGTGGAGCTTTTAGCCCTGATGGGCAGTGGCGAAGCTAGCATTCGATATCAGGGTGGTCCGCCTCCAAATTTTTTTTGACAACAACTATTACATGTAAACATTTTAACTAATTGCAGATACCACAAAAATAGATAAATACGGCCTTAGAAACACACTAAAATTCTCATTCAAGTCTCAGTTTTGCATAAAAGATGCTTACATAGTACAGTACATACCTTCAGAAGTTAACCATTAAAGTATCAATTATATGATCTTCACTAGATCATGAAGACCCGTGTTGCTGCGCCCATCCATTCTAAAGGGATAATACAATATATTTAAGAACTAGTTCAAGAATGTTAAATAATGGATATTAATTGAACAGCTGAAATTACAATGCTGTCCATATCCATAAGGGAAGTTGGTTTGACCGAGGCCACATGTCAACTTGAATACTTAACATCGGTTTAACATTTAGAAGAAAAAAACTTGACATCGGTTTTTGTTGTAGCACAAATATATTACCAACAAAGATAACACCAATTCCGATGCATATATTGAGCTTTATATCAGATATATTACCGCCATCTTATTTCTCAACTTGCTCTTGACTAAAACATAGTGGTGAAAAGGTTTTGCAATATCTCCGGTTCTTTTCATTCTTCAATAACTCTGCAATACGAATTTACTTTCTATCAATCATAAATTCACAATGACACAATTGAACAGAAATAATATGCTTAATTATGTGTGTGTTAATCAGTTCATGCTCATCAGTCCATGTATTGGACTGTCCAGGGCACAATACAGCATAGTGTATCCTCTAAATCACTTTGACCGGTCATGCTCATAGTGCTTATCCTCATCGGTCCATGCTTATCCTCTTAATAGTGCAAACCCTAAATCAAAAATTGGAGAATTGGGGAATGTATGAACGATACCTCGAATCAGAATGAGCCAAGTGTCGGAATGCGAACTGGGTGGTTGCCGCGGGCTTGCAGGGGCGCCAGGCGGCCGGGACAGGGCGGGGTCGCAGCCTGAGACGGTTGTGCGGCTGGCGCGGAGTGGCCGGGCAGGCCAAGGGCGCAGCAAGGAGCCAGGAGCGGAGGATCCTCCTGGGGGCTGGCGGCTGGCGACCGGCGTGGTAGGCGGAGCCCGGGAGCTGGGGAGGTGGACGGGGATGGGGCGGCCGGCGGCTGGATGTGAGGAAGACGGTATCCATTAGTCATGCGTGCGTGGTGTCTGGCTGCGAGCCAGCGAGCTAGAGGCGTTGTTGGGCCTGTTTTCCATTCTGTGGCCCATCTGTATACGCATAGGTATATAGGCCATGTCAAAATCTCAGGGTGGGCCGCGGCCCACCCTGGCCACCCTGTAGCTCCGCCCCTGCTGATGGGAATGGCCCTGAAAAAGAGTTTGAGGACAGATTCAAGTGTGATATATTTATAGGGAGCCATGGAATTTGACCTATGAGCTTATTGGAACCAAGAGAGATACGATTAGCTGACATGTGTTGCATATTTGCCGGTAATGAACCACGCAACATGTTTCCTGATGCATCCAACCATGAAGCTCCAGAAAATGTCACCCATAACCAGTCAGGAATAACATCATCCAAATTTGCATTTCCGAGATCAAGAAAATCAATGTTGGTTTGCCATCTAAGCCACTTCGGAAAATTGGGGCCCATGGCGCATGACGAGAGTTGTAAATTTTTTAGTTTAAATGGAGGAACCCAATCTGGTTCAATAGCCATTTCCAAGGAATTGTCTGACAAGCTCAGAGACTCTAAATTCAGTACAACAACAACAACAACAACAACAACAACAAAGCCTTTAGTCCCAAGCAAGTTGGGGTAGGCCAGAGGTGAAACCCATAAGATCTCGCAACCAACTCATGGCTCTGGCACATGGATAGCAAGCTTCCATGCACCCCTGTCCATAGCTAGCTCTTCGGTGATACCCCAATCCTTCAGGTCTCTCTTAACGGACTCCTCCCATGTCAAATTCGGTCTACCCCGCCCTCTCTTGACATTCTCCGCACGCTTTAGCCATCCGCTATGCACTGGAGCTTCTGGAGGCCTGCGCTGGATATGCCCAAACCATCTCAGACGATGTTGGACAAGCTTCTCTTCAATTGGTGCTACCCCAACTCTATCTCGTATATCATCATTCCGGACTCGATCCTTCCTCGTGTGGCCACACATCCATCTCAACATACGCATCTCCGCCACACCTAACTGTTGAACATGTCGCCTTTTAGTCGGCCAACACTCAGCGCCATACAACATTGCGGGTCGAACCGCCATCCTGTAGAACTTGCCTTTTAGCTTTTGTGGCACTCTCTTGTCACAGAGAATGCCAGAAGCTTGGCGCCACTTCATCCATCCGGCTTTGATCCGATGGTTCACATCTTCATCAATACCCCCATCCTCCTGCAGCATTGACCCCAAATACCGAAAGGTGTCCTTCCGAGGTACCACCTGACCATCAAGGCTAACCTCCTCCTCCTCACACCTAGTAGTACTGAAACCGCACATCATGTACTCGGTTTTAGTCCTACTAAGCCTAAACCCTTTCGATTCCAAGGTTTGTCTCCATAACTCTAACTTCCTATTTACCCCCGCCCGACTATCGTCAACTAGCACCACATCATCCGCAAAGAGCATACACCATGAGATATCTCCTTGTATATCCCTTGTGACCTCATCCATCACCAATGCAAAAAGATAAGGGCTCAAAGCTGACCCCTGATGCAGTTAAATGGTGTGCTCACAAATGAGCATTTTTCAGGCTTACTGAATTTAGAGAGAGACTCTAAATTCAGTAAGCCTGAAAAATGCTCATTTGTGAGCACACCATTTAATTTATTGTTGTAGAGATACAATTTTGTCAGGTTACCAAGTGCTCCGACTCCCAGTGGCATAGTACCAGTTATCATGTTCTCACTGGCGTCAAGAGCAATGAGACTGGTCATATTTCCAATCCAGATTGGTAGTTTTCCACTCAAATTTGTATTCGGCATTGACAACAATTGTATTGTACTCCATGAGCACCTTGGCAATCGATCCATGAACACCCCTATGCTCTCATTTATGTCATTATCATCTAAATGCAGCACTTTCAGATTGCACAAGTTTCCTAAGTTGCTCGGTATCAAACCAACGAGATCATTGTAACTAAAATCTATGACTTGAAGGGAGGTCATGTTTCCCAGTTGCTCAGGAATATATCCATGCTGGTAGCATTGAGAAACGTAAAGCTCCTTAAGGCTTGTGAGATCCCAAAACCAGCTGTGCTCAAATGATGTGTTAACCTCATTGCCTGACAGATCGAGGACTTCAAGATGTGTGATGTTTGATTTTGAAGTAGCAGACAAGGTACTGGTAAGGCCACAATCTGCTAAGAGAAGCACTTTCAAAGAAGAAAGCATGTTAACGATGTGAACCCAATCCCGCACAGCATGGAGGTCCACTAGACTCAAGTCAAGATAACTCAACAATGATAGATGTGACAACCATGCAAGATCCACTTCATGCAGAGCATTGGAAAACCCACCAACATCAAGATATTTCAAACGTGAGAGATTACCGAGTTGGGAAGGTATTCTGCCACCAAATCTTGAAGACGAGAGGTTGAGGTACCTTAGGTTCTCCAAAAAGCCCACGAACACAGGTATGCTAGTGCCGTTGAATTCATTCCCGCTTAGATCAAGATATCTCAGATGCCGCAAAGCAGCCAAAGAGGAGCTCATCTCATCTGTTGACAAGCTCAGGCTGTGGTCGACGTGGGCAGAGAAGTAAGGCGTGTAGGTGTTGCGGAGGTTGAGCTTTACAACATGGCCTGTTCTGCTGCTGCACAGGACTCCCTCCCACCGACAACAGTCTTCGCCATGCCATGATGAGAGACGGCCAGCAGGGTCGACAAGGTCTGCCTTGAAGGACAGAAGCGCGTCCCGCTCCCTGCTGATGCAAGTTCTAGTCCCGCCTGAAATCCTTGCTTGAGCATGGGAGTCGGACCCTGCTACGTGGGAAGTCAGCAGACAAAGTATCGCTGCAGCTGCTCGGGCGAGATGCCCAAGCTCAGCAGCCATATTTGGTTGGAAGTGGGAGGAAACAATTAGCTAGCGAATGGGAACAACACTGGAATGACCAGAGAGAGTAGCTGATCCCACACCAAAGCACAATATATGGTCTAGGAAATTGCTGTCTCAGGTCTTCGTATGGGCATGCGCACTTTGACGTTTCTTAGTCAGAAGTAGTGGCTTGTGGAATTTCTTATGATTAGCTCAAAAGTTAGGCAGCGACCATTTATATCAAAGACCAACTCAAACAACATATGTGATCAGAAATTCACACACAGAAAGATATTTCAGTCACAAGAGAGAAGGAACCACACAAAAATAGTTTCTGCAATATTCTAGTTCAGAATTTCCAACCAAAGTCCTGGATTGACTGTAACTTCTCTGAAAAAGGTTGTCCCTAGCAACCAGGTCTTACTCATCAACAGGGTCAAACATGGCAGCGGGCAGCAACAGTAGAATTCTAATTCGATTTGGACGTGCCACTCACTACACCATCACTCAGCAATCTTGTATGAAAAACACCGTCACTCAATGTACTGCATAATGATTCGTGAGTCACCAATTGCAATTGTAACAGCTAGTAGACATTACCAGTTTTCAGTAGTTTGGTAAAAAATTAGCAGGTTGCTCTTAAGTATCAAATCCCACCTAATAATATTCAAGGAGGCCCCCACTCACGAGCTAATCTAAAAGTCAAGAGAAGCTAAGCGCACCTGCTTCTGGCGGCTGCGGCCGCCGCGTCCGCCGGAGAAGAAGCGGTAGGCCCGGCGGAAGCCAGCGAGCCGAGACTCCTCCCCGGAGTGAAGCACCCAGAGAGCGCGCGGGATTGGCCGGCCGCGCCGCGGTGGTGGTGGCGGAGGCGCAGGAGACCTCGCCATCGGACGA